GAGAAAACAGTTGGCCCCTGCCCACATTAACTCCTAGACCACCAGATGTAATAAGGGTCATTCTTAATGTCTTGCATAATGTCTTGATTAAAATGGAATTTGGAGGGGCTGGTTGGGTGGCGTGGTCGTCAGGTTCACATACGAGGCTTCGGTGATGCGGGCTTCACAGGTTCAGATCCCAGGTGCCAACCTGCACACCGCTTATCAAGCCATGCTATGGCAGGCATCCCACATACAAAATAGAAGAAGATGGGCATGGATGTTAGCTCAGGGCTAATCTTCCTCAGTAAAAAGAGAAAGATTCCTCTTCCTCTATTGGTGAGGAAGATTAGCAATGGATGTTAGCTTAGGGCCAATCTTCCTCACCAAAAAAAAAAAACAAAAAACAAAAAACGGAATTTGGACAAGATTGTCCTGTATTTTTATATGATTTAATGGGAAACCCTCGGAAAAATACCCTAAATTAGTTCATTACAATATTTCTATTAGTTAGGTATAGTACATGAAAATCTATAACCAAAACATTTTCTTTCTAATCAAAGGTGATTCAGATCTTCTTTCCTGGCAACAATGAAGCATATTTTGTCAGTTTTCTTCAATTTTCCTTCTCCTGTTATGCTTTTTGGCTCTACCCTGATTCTGATTACATGCTAGATGCTAAGGTCAAATATTTTGATTTTGTAAATCACACTCATGTATTAGAGTGTGTTTAAGTCTTTTGAAAATAAGACAGAGTATGTAAGACACAATTGCTGTTAATAGGAGTTAATAGCATTTCCTTTGGAAGTGAATTAAATTTCAGTAATTTGTAATATTTTAATCATTGATGAATACATTTTATGTTTGAATGAAAATATTTTAATTTAAGGCCAACATTTATTTGATAATTGCAATAGATTTCTATGGCTATATATTTATCACATTATCTTACTTTTCTTGTTATAGAAAACGTGATGAAGAAAGTTGTCGTTAAATTAATAGTGCTGAACCTGGAATTCTTAGACATGTAGAATCACTTCTTCTGTCATCAAACAGTGGTTCAATGATTAGTAATATCTCCGAGCCACTGGGGATAGTTAGGGAAGTGAACTGATTGTAACAGACTGATTTACTTCCTTTAACCCTATAATTATGAAAGATCAAGATTAGATGTGTACTCATAAATCAATGTAAGAACAATAGCAAAATCTCGCTGCAAATTTTGTTGTGCTCATTTTTGATGGAGTTTCAGTTCAGCTAGTCATCCAACAATAATTTCACTGAGTTTAATCTGTATACTCTGATGCATTTTAGGATCTCTGAGGGCAGTGAACGATACACGTTCTGTCTTGAGGAAGCAGATAATGTCATTTCTACATCAAACACACATGAAAGAGCAGGCAGATTTGGATAGAAATGTGTTGCATTGTGTGCAGATGAGATGACATTTTATAAATAATTTCCAGCTACATTTGTTTGTGTTAGAGCTAGTTCTCACCATGATTGCAGACAGCCTCTTTTCCTTTAACCCTATTTGTCATAATCAAAATCACAAGGGAAACTAAATGAAGATACTGCTTTCCAAGGTAGAATATTTGTGATTCTGTTTACTTGGTCTGTACATTTGGGTTTGCTGAATCTTTGAACTTAATGCAAAGCACATTTTCAGACTTGCCCATCTTAACTGATGTTGTTTACAAATACCTAAATTATAGAGCGAAATGCAGCCTGATCTGATTTCTGAATGGTCATGGGGCTTTGGCTTAATTGATTGGTTTGATTTTTTTTCAGCTACTTTTATTTCCTTTGCCAAACATTCTACTAGACATGCTAACAAGAAATGAAATGGCCACATGGCTGGGAGCCGGAAGGAAAAGAGTGATAAGCAGAGGTCGTGGTAGGACTCAAACCTGGGACCCGGCCACTGTAATTGAGAGCCAGCTGCACTGGCAAAACATCTGTGAGTGCAGTCGAGGGATGCGTTGAACGTTGCCAGCATATTGTTCTTCCTGGGATTGTATTAGAGAAAGACCATAAAAGCTCACAGTGATTTGTGGAGAACATGCATATGTAGGATTTCATTCATTCATTCATTCATTTCAGGTCAGGTCTCTGGCACTGGTCTTTAGGCATTTGATTTACTAGTTCAGGAGAGACAGAAGTTTCCAAGGAAATGTTGAGTCTTTCCTTTCTTCCTGAATATTGTCAAATAAAGCTTAGGTTGAATTTTGAAGAAGCAAGTTCTGGAGGCTCAAGGTTTTGGCTAAAATGACTTTCCCGACATTACCAGATTAAATAGGTATATGTGATGTGTTACCCAAAATTATATAACTAAATCAGCCTCTTAATGAAAATAGATTGATGTATCAATTGATTGTTACATATATGAAAATTATCTGAGAAATTTTATAGAATTTAAATAATTTTTCTCACCTCTTAATAAATAAGACATACAATTTGGGGTATAGTCAAGTACTAAATATAGTAATTATAACCTACATGGTACTAAGGCATAATTCACAACTAGTGTGAATTAAGAGTTTTCACCTATGAAAGGAAAAAGCAAGAAAAGAAAGCTGTTTTCCACCATCAGAATGGCAAACCAACCTGCATGATATAGAAGGCATATATGAGGAAAAGTTAAAGTGTGTTCTACAGTTAGTATATGGACGTTTGTTAAAAATCTATTATTTGTTCGAAGTCAATCGACACAACTCAGATCTTCTCGAGTTAGAAGAGGAGTGATTTTCCTTCTTTTTGCAACATGATAGATTTATAATTAAAATAATATTATACACCAATAAAGGAAGAGAATTACAATGTGGTAATGCATGTAGGCTTTGAAACCAGAGTTAGCAAGTTGGGGATCTGCTGGAGTACTAGTTAACTGTGTAACTTCAGAAAGTGTCTTAAATCCACAATGCTTTCAGTTGAGGAAACCATAAAAAGGGAAGATGCACATGACCAAAGCATACAGATGATGTGTGGCTGAAGTGGCGTACTGCGTGCCAAGTCCTAGAGCAACGTTACATAGTTCTAATCGTGGAAAAAATTTACTAGTGTTTCCTGTATCTCAAAAATGTCCACTTTCCGTATTTCCTTTTTCTTTATAAATGTTTGTTTTGCCTTTCTTATTTTCCTAGTTATCATAATGTAAATAGAATTGTATTTTCAGCTTTGTTCACATAACATTATACTGTAACAATTGTCTGACGTACTATAGTCTTTGTCATCATTTTAATTCCCAGTAATCCATAGAATTGACACCCAACAGTTGTCTAAACCATTACCTATAGTTGAACATTAATTCTATTTGTAGATCTGTATTGTTATATTTAGCACCTTTGTGTCTAATGCTTTTTTATATTTTAAATGTTTCCCTCAGTATAAATTTCCCAAAGTAACAGCATAGTGTATTCAGGTTGCAAATTTTGGCTTTATAACATACTAGCTATGTGATGTTCAACAAGTTAATTAAACTCTGTATGTCTCAGTTTTCTCATGTGTAAAATGGAAGTTATGATAATTAATCTTAGTATATATAAAATAATTAAACCTGCATCTTGCACATAAGTGCTATAAAAATACATTAAAATGCTTGTTAAAAGGTTTAATGGTATTTAAGCCAACATAATTCCAAAATGGTTATTATAAGTTAAATTTTATTTTCCTTATATACATAACATGGATTTTATAATTTTTAATGTGTTCATTGAATACAGAAAAATAGGTTATAATTGTTAGTCTTAATTGTTTTGTAATTCACATGTAGAATCCATAAAGGAAGGGACTTTGATTTACTTGCTTCTGACTAACCAGCACAAAAAAGAACACCCAGCACATAGCTCTGTAAATACCTGTAGAAAGAATAAAGGATTGTGGAATTCATGACTCTCTTTTGGGCTTGAAGGCAGAAATACTTGATTTTGTAGATCAGTGAAGGTGCAATTAGAGGGAAGAAAGGGCCATGTTTTGTATTCACAGAAAGCCATACCAAGGAAGCCAATCTAGATATCATAGATTACGGGCCTTTGCTCTGAAAACCAATCTTCTTCAATTTTTTTCTTTTTAGTTTTATTTTCTACTGAAATCTATTTTTTTTCATTGAAACTTTGCAAAATTTGGAAGACAGGGAAAGCTTTCACATTTTGTAATTCATAAGGGGTATCGAAGTGTATTACAGTCACATGCAGCATAATGATGTTTCGGTCAGTGATGGGCGCATATATGATGGTGGTCCCATAAGATGAGTAGCGTGTAGCCTAGGTGTGTAGTAGGCTATACCATCTAGGTTTGTGTAAGTACCATAGAGGAGGATGAACTTTTCCTCTACTCTTCTAGGTTTATTTGGCTGGTCTAAGAATTAAATTGACATGAGAAAGAATAACAGGAGAAAAACAAACAAAAGTTTAATAGCATGTATACATGGGAGAAACCCAGAAAAACAGAGTAACTTACCAGAATGGCCAAAGCCCTCACCTTGAATACCATCCTCAGCTAAAGACAAAGGAAGATGTTGGGGCTGGGGAGAGTCAGGAACTTCAAAGGGAAGGAAGGCAGTTCACAGGTGGGTGAAAAGGAGCAAATGTTTGGGAAACAAGTGTTTGGCCATGCAGAAACAGAAGAAGCCCAACAAACAGGCTTTTCTAGGTTCCTCCCTGTCTACCACCTAGTTCATGTTATGCAAAGGTGATAGCTCCCTTCCTGAGGCAGATTTTTTTCATCTGAATTCTTTTAGACAGTTAAGGTGGAGTTAATAAGAAAAACTTTCTGAGTCTTTTGTTTCTTACAAATAATCAGCCTAAAATAATCCTCATGTCGAAGAAATACAGTTTGGGACAAATTCTGTTCCTTTTCAGTACACGCTATCATGTTCGCACAATGATGAAATTGACTAGCAAGGCATTTCTCAGAATGTATCCCTGTCATTAAGCAATGCATGACTGTATATATGCCCATTGCATATTTGTTGAACCCTACTGATGATTATATATTTAATTTATTGTTTACCATATATCTAGGTAAACCGGTTATGATTGTCACAGAATACATGGAGAATGGTTCCTTGGACAGTTTCTTGCGTGTAAGTAGAAGACTTTATATACATTCATATATCTCTGTCTTTATGTATGTATTATGTATCTAGCTACTAATCTGTGCACATAAAATGCATAGATATAGAATCAATTGCTGAAAATGTTAGAGACAGCCTCTGATATTGTGCCAAGCAAATAGGTAATCAAAGTTTAAAGTAAAACTGAAATTTGCTGGGACTAAATAGCAAGAGGAAGATTGTAAAGTTACGTCTTTATCTTGCAACATCCAAATGTTAACAGTTTATATTTTTTAAAAATTTTTGTGCAATTTTCTTCAGCCTTTTTGTACTGCCAAGATTGACATCAGTTAAAATAAAAATTTAAAATTAAAAAAATTAATAAATTTTAAATTAATTAATAAATTTATTAATAATAAATATATTAATAAAAATTTTTAAATCCTAAAGTAAGCCATAAATAACATTGATGTAAGACAGAAATATTTCCTTTTCTTTATTTAAAGCACCCTTGGTCTGCTGTAATATAGAAGACCGTCTCTCTCTCTCACATAGTGCTGTCCCATCAGAAAAGAAGCATATGCTATAATGCCAAAATAGTCTCCACTCAGAGATATCATTTTGGTGAGAGATATATATATATCAAATTTATATCTATATAAATTGTTTAAATTTAGAAGGTCTTTTTTTTTTATTATTTCAGCAAATATTATTTTCAAAGAAATACAAATATTTTATGGAGTACAAGTTACTGCCCATCACCTGTCATTTGCTGCAGGGAGTAAAAAAGACATTGACCCTGTCTGTGAGGTGCTTTCAACACTATAGAAATAGAGACAGTTAGATAGATAAGATAGATATAATTCATAAGTACAATCCATAATCATAGAGGAAAATTCTAAATTTTCTATGAATGAGAAATTATATTCTTTATTTTAATATTCATGAGCCAAATAAAAATTTTATTAGCAATTATTTTCACAAACGTATTTCACATTTTCCAAATCACATAATTAATACCATTATAATAAATATTCTGTTAAAATATTATTATTTGTGTAGATATACTAGACATGGAATTTTGTATTTGTCTATGTATCTATTTTTGCATGCATGCATATATGTGTGTATGTATGTATCTATATATCTATCATATAAACCGTATATTTCTATTTTAACCCAACTAGATCAGAAGCTTTTCTAAATCCAGGACTCTTTGACTTTGTCTCCTGTTACTTTCTATTTTATGAGCTAAACTCAGGTTTGGATAGAAAAACAAATATTTAGTCCATATTTTTGACTAATCTTGAACTAATTATTTATGATGATAATTAAAAATTTAATATCTACTTTATTTGAAGCAATTTATAAAATATCTGGAAAGAAAGCAGGAAAAATGAACATTCAATCCAGATAAACAAAAACCTAAAATACCCACAGGATCCATTTCACTTTGTTCTTCTTGGCCTTCAAGTTTCTAAGGAGGAGTTTGTGTGTTAGATAACGACCAGCAAAGTCCTACTTTTGAACCAGAAGTCAAAGAATATTAGGGTGCTTCCTGTTACAAAGTATTTGGTAATGCAGCTATGATGCTATTCTGTTTTACCCTTGTATCCATTTATTCACATATCTTGTTAGGCTGGAGTGCTTAGAAATGAGATGTATATACTCAGTTTTTTTTACAATTCAAGATGTGAGATTTTAACCAAGCTATATCTTTAGAAAGTAGCAACACATCTTAATTGTACATTTGAAATACTTCTCAGAAACACGATGCCCAATTTACGGTCATCCAGCTAGTGGGGATGCTTCGAGGGATAGCGTCTGGCATGAAGTACCTCTCAGACATGGGCTATGTTCACCGAGACCTCGCTGCTCGGAACATCTTGATCAACAGTAATTTGGTGTGTAAGGTTTCTGATTTTGGACTTTCACGTGTTCTAGAGGATGACCCAGAAGCTGCTTACACAACAAGAGTGAGTTACTTGATTTTTTTTTCCTTTTATATTTCTTTTCCATCTTGTATTATGTTCATTTGCAAACAAGTAGAAATCATGTCCCAAAATGCTTTGTCAATTATATCTTCCCCAAAATGAAACCTATCCTTTAACATTAAAATATCGTTACTTGTTGTGGGAAAATAGATGATCACTGTTTATAAGGTGGGAAATGATTTTAATTCTGAAACTCTGTACATTGGTTGAATGCTTCTTCAAAAAAGACAGTGAGGTTCTCACATGCCTGAAGTCTCGGTATTTTTATATTTACCCATCTTTTCATTGTGGTTGACCCAGTTATAGTAAGCAGATTGGATAATTTCTCAGTACCCCCATCCAACTACACATAATTTTAAAGCATTTTAAAACTAATGTTTACATAAGTAACAGGTTCATATTATAAGAATTTCAAAACAAAGCAATAAAAAGGAGAAAAGTCATCCATAATTGTGCCACCCACAGAAAACATTTGTAACTTTGTGAGTCAATTCTGCTAGATTTTTTCTGCAAACCTATATTACACACATATGCATGAATACATAAGTAAAATAGGATTATTCATGATACCATTGGATAGCCTGTTTTTCTCCTTAGCAATATACCTCTTGAATATATTTCACTGTCAATAAATAATGTTTAAGTTTTCATTTTTAGAAGTTTGATGTATTCTATTTTCTGATTGTACCATTTTTTTTAACCAAACTCTAATTAGTGGACAAATTATAATTATGTCTAGTTTTTCAAAATTTTATACAAATGTGTAAATGATTCATCTGCATTTCATAATTGTATGAGTCTGATGATTTCCCTGTGATATATTCCTTTTTTTTTTACGTTCACATTTACCACATTCTTTTTTATTTTGAGATAACATTGGTTTATATACTTGAAATATATAAATTTCAAGTGTACATCATTATATTTCAATTTCTGTGTAGATTACATCATGTTTACCACCCAAAGACTAATTACCATCCATCACCACACATGTGCACAATATATTCTTAAAAGTGGATTTTCTGTGTCAAAGAGTCTGTACCTATTTTAAAAAGACACTTCACTACACTCCTGATAAAACTAGATATTGTCATTATTTTTAATATTTGCTTATTAGTTGTGAGAAATTATATATAATTGTTTTAAATTTGCATCCCTTTGATTCAAAATGCATTTGATTATTTCTTCATATATTTATTGGCAGATTTCTTTGAAATACCATATTTTAGAGAAATTTTTTTCATGGCAGAAAAATTTAAAAATAAAGATATAATAATAATTACTAATAATACTACTCAAAGATAACCAGTTTTAATGTTTTAATTTTATCCTTTCAAAATATTTTTCTATGCATTTTCACATATAAATAATTCCCAATTGTGCATACAGTTACAAAAATGGGATCATACTATATGTGCTGATATATAAAATTATTTCCACTTATCAATAAATCCAGTATTTTCTTTATACATGTAAATTCAGTGTTGTTTTGCAATCTGCCTTTTTAACTTAAATATATAAAATATAGAATTTTCCAGATGATTAAATATTCTTTTTACAATATCATTAAATAATGTATAATACTCTATTTTATTTATGTACATAATTTATTTAACCAATGCACTCTTAATTGGGCAGAATTCCAATGTTTTGATATTATTAACAATACTTTGATATCAATCCTGATGTATAGTTTATGGCTGTTTATAATTATCTCCTCAGGTTAAATTTCTAGAATCAAAATTCCTGAATCAAAATGTGTGCCACTATGTGAGGATTTGGGCACATGAATTGCCCTCTTTTCCACAGTTTGTCATGGATTTCCACTCCTACTGGCAACGTATAAAGGAGACTGCTCTTCATCAGCCAAAAGAATAGGCAGTTTTAAAAATACTCAACTTCTGCTGTTTTCTTCTTGTTTTAATTCTAAAACTTAATACTCATTAAAAAAAATCCCTCATTCTTTTCTGAAAACACCAATGTCGACAAGTCCATTAACAACCCCTAAGATTGTCATGTGGCATCTATATCCCGCTCTGAGAAAGAGCCCAGTAGACCAGACTGAGTGTCGTCGACCCGGAAAGCCGCACTGGTGGAGCGGAAGCCCAGTGTCCCGGAGGCAGTCCTGGACGCCTTGGTTTAGGAGCGGAGCTCTCCGATGGCTTTGTACGTCACACCGTTGTCTGCACTTCCCGTTTTCAGCTAGACTCTGTCGTGAATTCACTTTGCTCATGAATCCAAGCATTTTTTTAAAATGCGTCCTGCATAAAAATGTTGTTCTTAGAAACAAAGTTCATTAGGTTAAGAGCAAGAGAAATAAAAGAAAATTTTAATTTTATATGTAGTGGCTAGTTGAATTAAATTTATAATAGTGACTACAACTACACAGCTCTGAAAACTTAATGAAATTGTAAAACATGGGTGAATATCTTGATAGTGCTTTTTATGCTCCCTTTCCGATCTCCAGAAAAATTAGTCAGCCAGCATTCTGCAGCCAAGCATCATTTTTATGAATAAATTATCATCCCAGGAGATTATCTCCCAGGAGATAATATGTGCAACAGATGATAATATATTTATTGTTTTGAGGAATGTTTTTTATTCTACTCACTGCTACTCTGCATTCTGAAGAGAACCTTCATAAACTTCTGCTACTGTATGAGCTTTTCACATACTCCATGAAAAATATCATTCAGTCTGGCATTGCCCTTGTTACAGCAGTCACTTTATCCAAGAAATGCATCCAGTTTTAATAAAAGGTATTTGATAAAAAGGACTTTATTTGAAATATTAAATTTCTGATCATTCAGTCAGGTTCTAATCTCTGTGCAGTATCCCATTGTTAAAGGAGACCATCCTTGTTGTCAATACTAGTCTTGATTTCTAGGATACTCAAAGGAACAATTCTTTTGCAGGAACTTGAAAAATTCAGCCAAATCCAGATCATCTGCTCTCTGGAGAATATACTGGGTTAACTTGCAGAGCTTCATGTGTGCTTATTGTTACTTTGTCAGGACCAAGGGGTCATGAAGATCCCTTCAGCCTTAGTAGAACGATGTTGCTGTGTCGAAATTTCTCTTTAGCATTTGTGAGCTGAAAGTGCAACCAGCTCTTTGCAGTTGTATTTCAGTCTCAGAAGATTCTTAAAAACCACACTGACCAAATAGACTCATTCACTACCAATAAATAGCTGTTTAGAGTTCTTCGTGTTCATCCTTGTATTTTCTTGGAACTCCTCAAAATATCTGTGGGGATCCTGGCTTCCTTCTGAGAAGCTGTAATTTGCATCTGTGTTTCTAGAATAATTTAGAAATCTTTGATTTAATCTCCCATAATAAGCCTTGTTTGATACAATGATTTTATAATTTACCCTAAAATATGAGATATGGTTATAAAGTAATAGGACTGCTATTTATTTATTTATTTTTTTTTGTGAGGAGATCAGCCCTGTGCTAACATCCGCCAATCCTCCTCTTTTTTTGCCGAGGAAGACGGCCCTGGGCTAACATCCGTGCCCATCCTCCTCCACTTTATATGGGACGCTGCCACAGCATGGCCTGCCAAAGCAGTGCGTCAGTGCGCGCCCGGGATCCGAACCAGCGAACCCCGGGCCGCCGCAGCGGAGTGTGCGCACCCAACCGCTTGCGCCACTGGGCCAGCCGGTGCTATTTTGTTTTCTGAACAAACACACTGAAACAGTTAAGTGATGTGGCCATCCTGAGTTGTCTTTTTGGGAACGTGCACTTACTGCAGGAACACTGCTATTGCACAAAATGTTTCAGGAATTCCTCTTTTGAAATTATCTTTAAAACTAGATTGTGAATGATACCATCACTCAAAATTGTTTAAGCATATAGTATTTGGGGAAACAAACTTGACTAAGGTAAAATATCTGGTGTCAATAAACTTATAGTTAATAAGTAAGAAAAGCAGTACGTTATTGTTTAGTAAAGTCTGTTTTTTTAACCAAAAACAGTATAATCCAGCTTAGACATCCACCTTATTTATTTGATTTAGCATGCTATGATTATGGTTATTTCAGAAAAACAAGTTTACCATTTAAAACAGTGTGCCAAGGCCTTCTTTTTGGATAAACAAGTTCTCCTTAGTCTGCTTTGGAAAACCAGTCACTCAACGTATGTCCCCTGGTGTCACTCTCATTCAGAAATTAGCACATCAAACCTTTCCCGATTGCTCCTCTGAAAGTTGCGGCCTTCAAGTAGAGGGTATTTGCACTAAGAGCAAGCAGGCAGGTAGAAGAGTGGAACAGAAATCGTATCAACTAATTCTGTATTTAAAACTTCTTAAACTGGAGGGAGCATCGTAGGAGTTGAGAAAATGCTTGGCCTTAAAACTTAGAACAACTTAGACATTTTCCCATGCTGCATGTGCTAGTATCTCAAGTACATCACAAGTTTTCCTTCCTGTGTCCTCAATAGGTGCCTGAAAGGAAAGGTTCGGCTATGTTGAGAATGTACACTTTTTTGTGTTTTCTTTTTTTCATAAGAATGTTGGGTAGGAAACCAGATTTTTTTTCGATATTCACTTCTAGTTATTTCTCCTCATTACTCACTAGTGAGTTATGCAGAAATTCCAAACACTGGCGCTTTCCATTACAGTATCATTATGCATCCTGTATCCTTTATAAAATTCCACTGTACACTCGTGGGATGTGGAGAGGGAGAAAGGTGTCATCTTTTTAGTATTATTATGAAGATAGTTCAATCTTGCAGACTCCCTGAAATGCTCTCAGGGATGGCCATAAAAGCTTGGATGACAATTTGAGAACCACTGTTATAGGCACTCTATCAGGAAAAAAACCCTTAAAAACTAAATAAATATTTTAGTAGTTATTAAATGATATAAAACCTGACTTATGATGTAATATTATGTGATAGACCTCGTTTGAAGAAAGGCCTTGAAAGCACAACTGTAGCCGCATACAGATGCTGCAGACCACCTCAAGACCCTGGACTGTTTCT